TTTCCTGGTGTAGCTAACCATGAAGGGACAGACACCCTGCCTGTTGACTGACGTTGAAAAGAAAATAATCGTTCATGAGGAGTAGCGTTTGTAGCCGTACATAACAAGGACCTAATCGAATGGAGTGCATCCAGCATCACCTCTTGCCAGTGGTTAATGGGTAGATTTTTCGATCGTAAAGCGAGGCAAACTGTTTTCCACAACGTTCCATTGAATTTTTCTACTTGGCCATTTCCTGCAGGATTATAACTTGTTGTTCTACTACTTGAAATACCCTTCTGTAAGAGAAAACTTTTTAGCTCAGCACTCATAAATCCTGACCCTCGATCAGAATGAATGTACGTAGGCATACCAAAAACCGAGAATAATTCTGACAGACAAGCAACAATAGTCCGAGCGCTAACATCTTCACATGGGAACGCAAATGGGAATCTAGAATACTCATCTATGATAGTCAATATATATCGTTTCTTGTCCGTACTAGGCAGCGGACCTTTAAAATCTAGATTCAGTCTTTCAAACGGCTGTGTTGCTTTTTCAGATGTGACTGAGCAGGTCGATAGTATTGGGGTTTACATTCTCGGCAGTCTCTACATGATTCGGTCATGCGCTTAATTTCTTCTATCGAAAATGGTAAATTTCGGCTTTTTACAAAGTGACTCATGCGAGATACTCCAGGATGACACAGTGCTTTATGAAGTTCGAAAAGTTTATCCAGTGTAAGCGACATAACCTTCACTCTCGATAAGGTATCCGCTGGTATATTTTCTTCTCCTGTTCTATATACTATGTCAAAATCATACATAGAAAGTTCCAATCTCCACCGCATTATTTTATCGTTCTTAATCTTACCATGACGTTTCAAATTGAACATATAAGCTACTGACCTCTGATCCGTTACTAGTTTGAAATGTTTACCTGTTAGATAATGTTTCCACCTACGAACGGCCTCCACGATAGCAGCTGCTTCCTTTTCTACTGACGAGTGTTTTAGTTCTGAACCATTTAGTGCTCTTGAAAAGAATGCTACTGGTCGTCCTTGCTGATTTAATGTCGCTGAAAGTGCAAATTCTGATGCATCGGTCTCTATTTGGAAAGGATAAGATTCATCAATTGATCCTACTACAGCATTCTCAATATCATTTTTCAGTAAATCAAACGCTTGCAACGCATCATTTGATAATAGAAAAGCTAAATTGTGAGACAAAGGTCTGATTTTAGTTGAAAAATCTTTAATCCATTGGGAGTAATATGAAAACAAACCGATGACACGCCTTTGAGCTTTTGCATCACGTGGGGCTGGCAGCTCCCGCAAAGGTTTTAGTCTCTCCGGATCTGGCTTAATCTCTCCTTGAGATACAACACTTCCGAGTATACTAATTGAGTTACCGAAAAGACGCACTTGCTTTCATTAAATGTTAGGTTACGTTTCCTCGCTGCTTTCATAAAAAGTTCCAAATTTTTATCATGATGCTCCTGATTGTAACCGCATATAGTAATATTGTCTAAATACGCGAAAGTATCTTCTAAAGCTTCTTCGGATATGAAAGTATCCATTGATCGTTGAAAGCCGCTCCATTAGTTACACCAAATGGGATTTTACGGAACTGATAAAGTCGATGGTTAGCTTCAAAAGCCGTGTATTTCTCTCTTTATTTTGATAGGTACTTGATGGTATGCACTTTTAAGATCTACAGTGCTAAAGACACTATATTGGGCAACTGCGTTTACTGTATCATCTATTCTTGGCATCGGATAAGCGTCCAACTGAGTAAATTTATTAATTGTTTCAGAGTAATCGATTACTAGTCTTTCTTTTGTCTTTCGTTCTTGGTTACAACGACTTGGGCTCCAGGAGAGTCACTTTCTTCAATAATCCCTTCTTCGCTAATTTGACACTTCTGTTGCGATGAACGCCTGTCTTCGGCACTGTATCTTCGTGATTTTGCAGCTACCGGTCTACAATTCAGACAAAATTGAAAACAATTATGGTGGTAATTTCAATACAGGCTTTCTTTAGTGACTTTCTACTGTATGTTTAGTTGATGCTAATGCTATATACGAAGCCTGAGGAGCGACTGATTTACATACTTTGAAATGTCCTTTCTTTTACATTTATAACAATAGGCGTCTTTAGCCGGGCATGCGGAACGATGGTGTGGTCGATTACCGCAGAAGAAACATTTCGCTGATCTAGCAGGCGGCAACGTACCTTCTATGCCGTTGTTCTCTTGATGTCCGTCAGATTGATCAGTTTTATCTTGGTTTTCGAATGCCCGTTGATTAATAAACGAATTCTCCCCGTCCTTGTTTGATAGAGCAGCAGCTGTTATTGGAATTCCGTCTGCATAAGTTTCAGAAGTTCTCTGCTGTATCTAAGGCTCGGCTTGATCAAAAGCTGTCTGAAGGTCTAATGTTTTATTCTCAAGAAGACGTTGGCGGATGTTAGTTGAAAGAAGACCTGCTATAAACGCGTCTCGTACAGCTTCGTCTCGATATTGATTTGATGTCACGTTACGAAAATTACAATCTTTGCTTAGCGATTTTAATTTTGCAAATACTCATCCAGGCTCTCGCCAGATTGTTGTTTACGAGTAGCTAACTTATGTCGCGAAAATATCTCATTAGGAACCTTAACATAGAGATTTTTAACACTTCTATAGCTTCCTCGTAGGTTGTCGCTTCACAGAAAAGTTGATAAACGTCGGCAGAAACATAATTGACTAGAACCTTTAATTTGTTCACTTCTTCGTTAGGTATAGCAGCTACAAAATTTTGAAAGTAGCAAACCAGTGCAACCACGATCTAGCAGCGTCTTGAGCGTTAGGATTGGTGTCAAAACGTTGTGGTCTTAAACTTTCTCCATCACAGCATAAGATGCGGAAGACACTTGATAGGATTGACTAGTGAGAGCACCAAGATTCTGAGTGTTGTGTAAATTGTTGTAAAAGTTTTATTAAATATTTATTATATCTTCTATATACTAACCTAAGGAGGTTTTACACAACACTGCTGGGGTTCAATGCAGAGGCTCTTAAATAATGGGCATACTTATTTACATTTACGTATATTTAAATTTCGTAATGAATTTGTTCAGCCGTCCACTGTCGGTACGCCGTGTAGCGTAATGCTCTGAACGATACAAAATTTTGTCTAAGATACTTATCGGCATTATACACTTGTCGACATATTAATGTAATTACACTTCTAAGGTAATATTTACTCGTTTTCTTCACTCAGGCATAGGTCCAATGTCATTGTGTGCAATAACGACCATAGCTGTTTTTAAGACAGCTTCTGTTTGTACATACTGTGGCAAACTCTTCCTCTTGTGTGGTGCAAATATGATCGCCATGTATCAGAGGATCAGTGTTGTTTACCCTTTGGCAACATATACTTTCCCGTCCTGTACTCATGACCACACAAAAGCCACACTCGCACCTAAAAGATAAAAACATTCTTTCTACTTTGGGAAAAACAATGAAGCATCAATAAAATGCAACTAACCATTCCAGGGGCGGATCTAGGATTTTTCAAACATCAGTCATAAAACGTCGGAGGCACTCCGCGCCGGGGGGGGTCTGAGGCATTCTCCCCTGAGAAATTTTGAATTTCAGAACCTCTAAAATGCCATTTTCAGCGTTTTAGAGCAAAACAAGATGCATTTTGTGGGCATCGTTTTTCGGTAAAAACAACACATTTTGCTTACGTTTTTTTCAAAAAAAAATGAAGTGAACAATACTTGAATGTTTTGCCAAATATTTAGGCTCATTATCATGCCAAATATATGGCTCATTAGCATGTCTAGGAACGTAAAATTTATTTTACAATAATGCTATTCAAAAACAGATATAGTCATTAAAAATTTCTACCAAGTTGTCAGGCATAGACCCCCCTAGAGACCCCCATTCAAACCTCTATGTAATAAGTTAAGTTAGAAATTTGGTACTACAAGTGACAAGTTCATAAATATAGAAAAGCTCAGACTTCAAACCATGCAGGTTTATTGTAACCCTTTACCCATCTCTACATCAGAGCCAGCAAATTCACTTTTTGAGAAAAAACTCAAAATTTTTTTCTGTCAAAGATTAAGAAAATTATCAAAGTGAAAAATTGCAGTTAAGGACAGCTTAATGCCATGAATGTTTCTTAGGCATTTCACTAGACTATTATCTTCTGTAGTATATGGTGCTATATAGCAATCACTAGTAGCATTGTATTTGCAAATACAAAGAGAATGTAACCAACATGTCTTTAATTATATAATTACATGAATGTTAAAATTGGTTCATGTGTCATGCTTACTGGTTATGATAAATATCTTTCATATGATCAAAGCTCATTTAAATGTAAATCTGAAATAATTTAGTTTAGAAATTATAATGATCATCAGAAAAATTACCTAGTGATCATGAAAAATACTTTGCTGTTTGCCAAATTTCAAGGTTTATCTGCATACATAGAAAGACATTTTTACTTTATAGAAAATGCTTTTCATAAATCAATAGCCCTTTGGAATTTATGGCAAACAATCTGGTATGAGCTGTAGATTAACACACCTTTACATCTCTACATGAGGTGTTCAGTTAGAAAAGGGACAATATGTGACATGGGACAACATTTGTATGTGAAATACTCAGGTTTAATACCATTCCAGTCAAATTGTCAAAATAAAAGCTTCATGGATCATAAGACTCAAAATCACAGGTTATAGTAAACAGCTTCTCATGTAATCATGTTAGTTTTCTCAAATCTTAAACAATATGTAGTATAACTGTCCAATGATTGAATGATCAATGATCATAAACTGAAAAGCCCCAAACATTTGTTTATGATAAAGTAAATAATAGTATGGCACCTTATGGCTACAGATTTTTGTCCATTGAAATATATTTGTAGAAATGTAGATTTCGCTGCCATATAACGGCCACGATTCCCCAAGCATTAAAGAAATCATAGCTAAAGTCCTTCGGCAACAACAATTTTAGAAGCATCAATCTGCTTACCATACGCCATATTAACATAAATCGCATCACACACTCGCATAAATTGACTTTGATATATTGCATTCATGCATACACTTCACTTGTCCTTTACTTACGATTTTCGATGTAAATTTCTGCTGATAAAACTCAAAACAATGTTGGCTTGCTTTTGAACATCAATGACTGAAATGTCGCTCGCGAGATCGTCTTTGCCAAGCATTTACAATTCATCCATAAATTTTTCACCCTCTTGAAAAAATTCCCAGTTTGGAAAGCAGCATTCATGTCAACATATGAATTTGTAAAAGATTTCCATAAATTCCATCTGATTGTAGTTTAGTTTCTATCATGCTTATAAAAATTACTATGAAACCATCAAACATTCAATTCAGACAGTGAGCTTGACTATGTTAGTTCAGTTGGCTATCAGTCGAAATCGGTCAAACCAATCACAGTAAGACAAAATTCAAATGAACCAATTGTAAGATAGCAATTGACTCCCTTATAGGTCCGGCCACCCTTATTATCGGTCGAGATTATTCCAGACTGTCCACTGATCTGGCCATTGACCAATAAAATAGCGTTTCTGGCGTTCATAGACTCCTTTATAAGTCGAACCAGTCAAGCCACCCCGCTTATCAGTCGGTTATTCCAGGTCAATTAAAATTCAACTGATCTGGTTACCAAGGAGATATTCATTGGATTAGTCATTAGTTTTCAATAATAAATAAAGCTGGATTTTTATCACGAAGTAAATGCGATAATGAAGTAGGAATAATTAATGAATTTTTAATTAATATGAATAGGTAATTTTTGAATTTCAAACATCAGTCGCGCGACGGATTTGACATACTCTAGATCCGCCCCTGAACCATTCAACATTTCCAATTCTGTGAATGTATTCATCTTCGCTTTCCGATGACGAAGAATTGTCATTACTATGACCACCTTCCGCGTTGGCCAAAGGCTCAAACATGTATGGTTGTACCTCATTGTTATTGACGACAATATCATAATCGGCTTCTTCTTCAGAAGAATCCATTAATTTTTGTTAAATAAAAAACAGTAATAGCAAACTACCGAAAGCCGTGCAAGAATTGCGTGCAAGTCGTAGAACGATATAAGAACGAACTTGTTTATGTCAACTATTACGTCACTCTTTCCCAGTTCCCAGACTTAAACAATCTCACGGCGTTTGAGCAATGGTCATCGAATATCGTGTTTTTACCGATTATAACCCTAAATATCTTTTTAAATATTTCGCGGACGACTTTGAAACTTGGTACGTCTTATTTTTACGCTATAGGCATTACAATAAAATAAAGTTGTCTTCTAGCTTGCATGTGTCCTTTAAGAAGTTACCAATATATTTTGAACGAAGCGCGCAATTGACCGCGTTTAGCGAATGTCAACTATTACGTCACAACGACATCGGTAGCTGTCGCTAGCTCGTCGGGCATTTTCAATACGTTATCAGTAAAGCATCAACTTTAAACCTCCATATCTTCAAAAATATTTATCCTTTGAGTCTCAAACTTTGGTGAACTTTTAGTTGGAGCTATGCCTTCATGTAAAGTACAAAAATAACAATCCGAATTTTATGTTGCATGTGTCCTTTAACCTTGTAATCATATATGCATTTTTTCCATGCTGCATACTACAAATCAATACTTCATGTAAATAAAGTATAGCTACGAGACTTATTTACCCCACGCCTCCTGGCTGAAAAACCGTTTCATCCCTTCATTCATTCTTCGCTTCTCCTCTTCAAAATACGACAACAAAAAGCGCAAAACAGTTCACAGAAGCACACACTTTTAAAGTAATATATTAGCTGATTATGATTCTTATGTATAAAAATTCTTCCTACTATTCATGACTTGCCCTGTCAAAATGTTAGGGTAGCTCCCCCCTGCCTCCTATGAAAGTTGGGCAACTTTTAAGCATCAATGGTTAGTTGATTTAAAATATGGTGGCACCTTCTATGTGAGTTAGGAAAATATTTACAACCGGAGAAATGATGCCTCCTGTATGCCAATGCATATTGAGATAAATTCAAGCAACACATTTTCTACCAGATTAAAGTCAATGATAATTTAGTGAATTGTGATGCAGGTGTTTGCAGTTGACATTTTATGTAAGTGTGTCCTCAGATCTTATATACTCTCCAATGTCTGCCTGATGGAAACAAACAATGTCTGTTGGACTGGCATGCCGACAATCTTGAGTTGATCTTGCAGCTACACCAAATCCCTGGAGAAATTAATGTAACAGTAAAATAATTTGGCTAGTTTTGAGCATATGTGCCCAAATATTGCCTGACTGTTTAATATTGTTCCAGCGTTCCCCACAGAGAAGTGAAATATCAATAAATATTAAGTAAATAGGAAAGGTAAACAAAAACAGAAAACAAAAGCAAACCAGAGGCAAATCATTCATTGAATAGACAACAACTCCTTGGTACTGTTCTGTGTTTTCAGTGATGCGCCCAAGACCAGACTTGGCAACATGGTTTCCATAGAGAAAAGATTGTTCAGCTCCAGGCTTCACCCAGATTTTAAACTAAAAGTGTAAGGTTAAGTTAAATACCTACATGGGGAGGTGTGAATTGACTGGGAGATATAGAGTACCTTTGCATATGGAGCCAAAAAATCCAATGCTGTAATGTGAAGACGAAACTTGCCAGATTTTGTCATTTTACCAAAACAAGTACCAAGCGAGATCAAATTCTCCCTAGCAACATTAGTTGCTTTCCTCATTATGTTTTCCCTTAAAAATTATTTATAAAAACAAACATATCTTTATTCACACATACTGGTAGTGCACCTAATGGCTACAACATCCAAACTAATGCAAATACTTCACGTAATATATCCGATCCTTCTGCAGTCTGAAGCAATAGTTGCCATCAGGTCGATCAATAAGCAGTTTCAAATTGTCACCAATACTATGAAATATATATCAAAGAAAAGTATTCTATAACCATCTTCAGTCATGGTGACAAAACACTAATTACTAAGATGGATGGTATAATTCATGAACTTCACAGCAACATGAATGAATAATTTGATTTTAACATGCTAACTATTGTCAACATGAGTTGTTTTCAACATGGGGCATGCACCAAGTTACAGAAACGAATTTAACAAGAATACTAAATTAACAAAGTACAGTCCGTAAAACATTAAATTAGAGTACAAAGTTAACTAAGTATTTACATTTAACTATCACTAAATTATTTGGGAAAGTGAACAGTGATTTTGTTTTGAAAAGACATCAGAGAGCAGGACTCTTTGAGTTCATGAGGTAATGAGTTCCAGATTAGTGGATCATTAAATGCGAGGCTTTTTTTCATGTATATCTTCGTGGCTGGGGTAAGTTGTAAGATGTTATTTTCTATCATCATGTTTGGCTGTTGATTTGCAATACTTTTGATAAGAGGTTTCAATCGACATAAATAGCATACGTATGTACATACTATTTGGCGAGTTTTTCAAACACCAGCTTGGTTTCTTCTTCTGTTAATGGCCTCATAAAGAAAAAATATCACTTTGAAAGAAAATATAAATACAACACTTTGATATGTGATTCACTCAATGGTTCACTCAAGTTTGGCGACCACGTGTGCACTTACCGACATCCATCAAAAGGAGATTTGTTTGGAAACTGTTTCCGATGACTTCCGACTTATTTTATTTATAAACATTTTCATAATAGTTCATTATGTTCATCATTCAGCAAATTTATGTGTATTCCTTTCTCTAAGAATCTCGATGTTTGAAAACATATATAACCATCTTAAAGTTTATTACCATCATAATGTATTTAACCAATAAAACGTATATAACCATCGCGAAGTATATAAACATCATAAAGTATACAACCATGACAAGATACATAAACTATGAAGAATATCTGCATGAATTTTTATCATTTCAAGAGTCATAAATAAAGCCACGCTGGGTCATTTAAAAACCCTTTATCTACATCTACAGCCTGCAGTTGTGTGAAACTCTGACCAATTCATGATTTATGGTCGTGTTGCTGTTAATATCATTGTTGAAATACACTCACTCAATGCCCAAAATCAATGACATAATTGTTTTCCAAATTGCTTTTGAACAAAATACATACCTTCCTTCCAGTAATTTAACTAGTCAGTCCCAATCTTTCCACGTACGGTCATAATAAACATTTATAATGACAGTGTTGCCAGATTGTGAACAAAGGTCACAAATTTATGAACTTTTGATTTTTATTTTGACTTTTTGTGAACAAAAAGAATTTTGTGAACATTTCATGAACTTTTACTAAAAAGTAAAAACATTTTATGAACTTATCACTTATAAAGGACAAGGTTGTTTACAATGAATATACACTGGTTTAGAGATTGGAGACAAAGCATAATTCATTCTTCAATGTTGATGTGGAGGGAATTTTTTCTTCTGTGAATGCAATCAAAACTAAAGGAAGAAATAGGTTGCACACAAAGCCAGTCAGCTGTATTCTAAAAGTTAAGCAAGGAGTGAAAAAGTCAGGAGGCTGTGTCAACTACTCTCCTTCGACAAATGCTTTAAGTCATATGACACACGACATTCTTTATGTTCAAGACTCTGACTCAAGGGACGAATCTGAATCGAACTAAATAACTGTTTTTCATTGTTATTTTTTTGTTGTTTTGTACAAATGTGCAATGTGCATCATTATAAATTTACATTTGATTTAGCTTATTTCATACATTTGGTGCAAATTATGCAATTTTTGTCGATTTTTAACATTGGTGGATAATATGTGAAGTTTTGAACATGCCGACATTAACTTATTTAAAATTCATCTGGCAACACTGTATAATGACAGCTAGCAAAAATGCAGAACTTTACACCAGCAGACATGTCACAAGCTTCTCTGGAAATTATATTTGGGTTCATGCAAGTATAGGTACTAGAATGTTTCTAAAGAAAGCCATCCAGTAACATATACAGTTCAATGCTGGTGGCTTTTTGTAAAGGTATACAGTTTTTTTGATGTGTGTTGTTGCACAGGTAAATTGAATTGATGACTTTATAAGGAAATGTTGGAGATGAGGCCGCAAAAAAACATTCAGAAATTGCAAGTGATTAAGATAAATTTATGTGAAATAATATTTCAGTTCTCCTTCCAGAAATTGAAAGAGTTTAGGAGTTTTGTACCTGGTACCAATGTTTTTTAAATTTTACTCTGCGATAAACCAAATTGTCAAATGAAGTTGCTCAACTGATCCTCGAGACATTGAGCATTTTTTCTATAAACATAAGGAATGTCGCCATATGCAATATAAGCATATGCATACGCATAAGCGTACATAAACATCATAAAGTATACAACCATCATGAAGTAAATAACCATCAAAAGGCATTTAACAAAAACAGAGTATATAAACATCATGAAGTATATAATCATTATAAAGTATACAAACATCATAAAGTATTACCATCATAAAGTATATAGTCATAAAGTATACAACCTTCTCTGGAAATTATATTTGGGTTCATGCAAGTATAGGTACTAGATTGTTTCTAAAGACAGCCGCCCAGTAACATATACAGCTCGATGCTCCAGGCTTTTTGTAAAGGTATACAGTTTTTTTCATTTTTGTTGTTGTACAGGTAAGTTAAATTAATGACTTTTATAAGGAAATGTTGGAATTGAGACCGCAAAAATAACATTCAGAAATTGCAAGTGATTAAGATAAATTTATGTGAAATAATATTTCAGTTCTCTTCCCAGAAATTGAAAGAGTTAAGGAGTTTTCTACCTGGTGCCAATGTTTTTTACATTTTACTTTGCGATAAACCATATTCTCCAATGAAGCTGCTCAACTGATCCTCAAGACATTGTGCATTTTTTCTATAAACATAAGGAATGTCGCCATATGCAACTCATCACAAGCATGCTTATACGTAAGGGAATCATTACCTGGGGATTTTTCTCTTGAGATTTATAAACCTATTCATACACTTCATTTGTGTTTTCTAGTTCTACACATGTTTGCTGAAGCTATGTTAGTCGATGTAGTCAATTTGTTCTACATGTTGTAACTAAACTTTTCAGGTAAAGAAACTTTCATTTTAGAATTAAATTCAATTTTATGATGTAATTGCAGAATAAATAAATTGCCAGGTATTAACAACACATACCCAAATAGATGCGCTTGACTTTCAATTTTCTCTAATTCAGTAATATCTGCACTAAGTTTTGAAATCTCGTTTTCCACTTTTTTCTTCTCTGCGTCAACTTTGTAACACAATTGAGCAATAGTGGAGGAAAGTTCCCTTTTAAAAAGAAATGGAAAATGAATACAACAGAAAACTTCTTGTTCCCATACATATTTTTCAAAAAGAAATATTGCTAGCTTTTTAATGGTTTACCTCATAACTTGTTGAATACAATTTGAACTTGTCATACTGACAACCAACTGAAGACGATTGGCCGTGTATGCAACAAACTAAAAGTTGAATCAACACTAACAGTCATTTCATATGAGGCAAGCATTTGAGATCAACTTTGGAAGATATTTACTGAACATGTTTACCTTTATTTCATTGAGGTTTTACACACAAAGTTACCTGATTTTTAAACGCCTTTTCCTTTGCATAATTTGTCAATCGTAAACCTCCAGTAATGTATAACGATCCATACAAACCACCACATCCAACAATCAGTTTGGCAACAACATTATTCCAAACCTGATTGAAAAAAATATGACAAAAAGTTATGCTATAACAGTCCAAATACTATGACCTATGTTTTGGAAATTATACATTAACAGAATGTGGTGTAAAAATTAGTCAAAAACCCTCAAAGTCATACTGTTTTTTTAATCAGAAAATGAGATTACAGTCTTATGGCAAATTTCTGCCTTTGAGAGTTTTCCTTGAAGCATTTTTCATATTTTTTCTACACATAATCACGTGAAGTCACTCCTTACCAGGCCTCCAACAACCACAATACCAGTAGCGCTGTGTGATGCAATGTTTTGAATAACGGCCAACTTCAATTCATCGTCCTTGAGCACTTCGTTACTTCGAGAAGCAGTCGTTTCACCTTCGTCAAGTTCCGTAGATGATCTACTATATGAAATGGAAACGAATGAAAAGCAGACTTTGACAACAATAACAAAAACATATTGACATGAGTAATTCAACAATAGTAGCATATACAACGATATTAGAACAAAAACATTCATCAACAAGTTGCATTTTCAACACTTTTTCACAGAAAAATTATAATGAAGTTAAAAGAGAGTTGTGAATTTATCAGACAATTTGAGGTTTATAAAACAACAATTTTATTACACCATACCTTTGTCCAGAACGAGAAGTGGAAGGACCCCAAAGCTTTCTTAACATTGTTTGCAACCAGTGAGAGAAATGGAACTCTAAATCCTCTTTGAAATCCGAGCAAATATTGGGAATATCAAGTTGATAGGATACTTCAAATTCATGCCTACAAGAATCGCAGGAGGAACAAAGATTTACATGTAGGCAAAATTTACATGGAGTATTTATCGAACACATGACTGAAGAGAACTTGCAAGTTAGACGGCAGTCATGCGCTCTTTACAATACCAGGTTATCCACAAGTATACATATAAATACCTGGAATCCAAAATAGTCTTCACCTCATGACGATCCTCTGGTGGTAAAAGTGAAGCTAATTGATCTGCAAAGATATTTATATTGTTAAAACTGTAACATAAAATGGAACTTCATAAAGTATGGCGTAAAATACGAATTCTAAGGTCAACTTTTGCTTACCAGTCATTGATTGTTTAGTTTTATTATAGGACTGGGAAAGAGCTAATCCACATCGCTCCGTAAGATTCCTTCCCAGGTCATCAGCAATATGAGTGACCAGATCTCGTTTGTAAGTTTCAATGAAAGTAGAATGCGCATGAAATGGATGATCAAACTGATTTACAAGTATTCCTAAAAGTTTTATTTCATCATTCATTGCTGTGGCAACCTTGAAATAAAAAATACAGTTTTATTTCACAAACGTCATCACGTTTTCCTAGTTAAACTAGGTAAATATACAACCGGACATCGTGATGGGACAAGCAGGTAAAAGCATGTTAAAGATCGTATAATTACACACTTAAAATAAGAATCTTTATTGAATGAGGAAAAGATTTATATTTTCCAAATTAGCTTCCCATCAAATGCCAACAAAAAGGAGAAAAAAGTGTTAGCATTTTTCAGAAGAATGTACGTATAGCTACAATGAATGGTTACAATGTAAATCCGTTAAACTCATGAAGTTCTTTGATAACTGTTGTTTTGAATGACTTTTATGTTTTAAATTTGGTTCGATTAACTTTATACCTGCAACACAACTTCTTCTTTAATTTCCTTGATTTTATTCTTAAACTCATGACTGATCACATCCAGTTTGTCTTTCATTATAGCCAGTCGTTCCTCCCAGCTACATTTTGCTTCAATACATTTCTGCCTAAGAATTACTATCGCCACTCAATAACATATGCAGATCCATGCAAGGAAATTCATTTAAAGAAAAGCAAAAACTGAAAGATTCCTATTGGATTAAATGTCAAACACACACAAGGTCTCGGAGAGAATGAGAAAAATGGTCTAACCTTTCAACCTTTGACTTGGCTTCAATTTTCTCCATGATTTCTCGAACAAATTTTGTGGTTTGCATTCCTTGTACTGCATGAGATTCAACTTTGCTTTGAATTGCTGACTTGGAAATACACTCCTAAAAACCAGAACATTGAGTCTGAGCACCGCAATTTAAACAAAACTTTAGATGTTATAGCTGCTATG